AATCTAAGAGATGACCTGAGAGAAATATTTAAACTAAGGCGAGAGGGAGAAAACATCCACTCATTCTGGTGAAAAAAAAATCTGTAAAATGCAGTGCTTGGGAACTTTTCAAGAAAAAAAAATGCATGAAAAATCATGATTAAAGCAAGATACAAGGTATTTGCAGATACACCTGTATTGTTGCAGTCAATTTGTTTCTATTTAAGACTTTGTGTGCTAGCAAAAGTCAGTCACAAAATGTCAAAACGTCACAGTCACTTTTTACTCATGGGGTTCTTAACCTACACAAGACTAGCACTTTTCTTTTGTTAGATATTTGTAACCAGGCATTAAAATCAGCAAGAAAAGCCACACAGAGCTACTATGAAAGAGGAAGATTCTTGACTGTACATTGCAACATTGATATGTCTCACTTGGGAAGTGGTCGAATGTCCTCTGACAAGCAAAAGTATTTACAAAGCAAATGGAATTTAGGAAGTACTTTTAATGACTTGAAAATGCTGTGAGGGAGCATAACAGATGCAAAAGCAGAGGATAATTACCACAATTGAAGAATGTCCCTGTGAAATTCTAGAGAGGAAAATAAGAGCTTGTTAAGTCTTTGCCATTATTAAAAAAAAAAAGTTAAGCTTTTAAAGACATCCAAGGATATTGGGAACTGAACAAAAACTCTCGTACCCTAAGCTTGCCCATCCAGAGAAAAAACAATTTGTTACTGACAGAAAAGCTAGGAATTTTTACATGTATCCAGTGATTGTAAAATGTGACAGATTAGTAGGATTATATAAAAAATCCCCTATTCACCAACACAAAGAGATGCAGGACTTCAAAACTGAGGGTGAGCTACCTTCATTATTAACAGTGCCCTTCACATCTTGGTGGAGATATACAGCACTATTGCCTGATGCAGTCATTTGCTGGCTTCTCTTTCAGAGTGGCAATGCAGGGCCTATACAATTAGTTTCATGTGAGGTCCACTCTCTATAGGAAGAAAATACATCCAGTAGACCCTGGTCTATTTATCTCAGAAAAGCAACGCTGATAAAGGGAACAGAAAAAAACACCAAAACACACACACAAAAACCCACTAAAAAAAATAATCACTCAAGGCTACTCAGAATATTTATGAAGTTCACAAGGAATCTGCCAAACACTTGAGAGTTTGCAGATTCTGGAGACAACTGTGCTTTCTCAGTCTGGAAGAAATGCAAAGATATTAACTAATTATTCATGGCACAATCAATTATTTTGTACTGTATATCTACGACTGAACATCATTAAATGCTTATTAGTTGAGCAAGCAGGACATTGAAGCAATTCCCTTTGGAATGGAAAGAAGCCAAGCAGTTGGACAGAGAAGCACCCTTTACAAGAATAATTCACTAACATAGACACACTACTGCTCAATTTACTTAGGCTTTACACACCATATCTGACCAGCAAAACGTTTCAAGTGCCAGAAAATAACCTTTACATTGTCACTGGGTTGAAGCAGAGTGATCTGGAGCTGGAAGAGCTCAGCTTTACAATTTTATAGAGACAACAGACAGTGGTTGAAGTTAGAAAGTCAAACAAGGAATGATATATTTTTGCTTTGGGAGCATACAGACTACAGAGCCTCCAGACTGTCCTGTGTGCCCTCCTTTCCTTGCAGACATAACACTGCTTTACCCTTTCAGGCCATGTTGTTGGCCTGGCTCAGCTTAGATGTGTGACTTCTGGCTGTGCTCAAACATCCAGGTATCCAACAGTGAGTCTCCTGTAATTTCTATCCTATTTAAAAAAAAAACCCAACCAATCCATCCAATTAAATTCTCATCTCATTTCCCTAGGAAACACGTCCTGGGTAAGAGTTTTGTATTCAAAATTAATGTTTGATGGAACGCTTTGGAAGGGTATAACTAAGTCATGGTCCATGGTTTACTCATTGTAAAAGTCAGGGCCACAGTGTCCAGTCTTTCTGATGAGCTGTTCAGTATCCTGTGAAAGCTACCTACTCCAGTCCTTCTTTCATCACAACTTGGTAACCTGGCACAGCCGCCCCCACAATATTTGGTCTTACAGACATTGGTATTCCCACACACATACACCCCACTGTGTCACCAGGATCACACTGGCCAAAACTATTTGTCTGGTCTGGAATCTTGTTGCCTCAGGAACCAGGGCAGTACAAAAGGGCCTGCAGCCAGCCTGACTTCTTTCCTGATGAGCCTCATGCAACCCTGTATGAGCTGGCAAGCCTGAACTAAAATATCAGAGCTTTGGTGAGAGGAGGTATGGACAAACATGTAAAACCCTCCCAGTTCACTCCTACACCTGAAAGAAATCAAGCTGAAAATCTTAAATCAATTTAATTTAACCCTCAAAGGATTGATTAATCTTCTCTCGCAATAAGAACATGTCTTTGAGCAGCAGAGGTTAATAACAGATATGTTGCATACTACTGCTAATGTTCCTCATTTTTTAACTGAAATCCATAAAGAGGTCACAGTAATAACTAGAGATAATTTTCTTTCTATGCCAATTACTGAGATGCTGGGAGGATAATTTTCAGACTCTGATTGTGATTTTCCAAGTACACTAAGAGATTTGATTTTCCTTCCTTCTCCATACAGGAAGATAAGCAACTGCCAGGACGGGGATAAAGCAAGATGATTCTGTCTTTGGTGAGAGGCTTCTGTCTTTGGTGAGAGGCTTAAATACAGGTTTGTAGCACAGATGTATAAACTGAGTAGAAGCTCCAACAGGAAACTACATCAAGAAGAAGAAACTAGGACTGTTTTTTGCACTGGTTCAAAGGTAAATGAATGTGAATCACTAGTATCACTTGAATTGACCCAACTGCTCAAGTGGTCATATGTTTGTCCTCTGGCTTCGTAAGAAGAAGAGGAATGAATACAAAAAATATTTTAAATATGGATTTGAAGAGCGCCCTACTCTAATGATGAGGCATAAATATTCTCTTTTATGTGGATCAAATACTCTATGTTAATTTCTAATTATATCTGTGTTTAGAGTTATAAAATCTGTCCTCCAAAAATGGAGGACAAAATGGGATCTCAGATATCTGGTGCATATTTAAGTGAGTTCAGTTACTAGCTTATTGGCTCTGCCCCAAGTTGCATTATGCTTTATCTGCATCTTTACTTGCTTTTCAGGTAAATGAAAAGTCTTAAAAATAGTAACTTTCCAGCTCATCCTTGCAACTAAATGCCATCTGATCCCAACAGTCAGGAGAGAAACAGTAGACTTTTTTCCCACATGGACACCTTCTTCAGGAAACTAAGAGCTGATTCGTGTTTTTTAAATGAGAGAGCAGCTAAAGTTATAACTATTAAAATCCAATTTCATTGTATCTCTTGGAATAAAGGTAAGTAAACATGCTATCTTATCAAGGCTCCTATTTAAAAGTCTGGCATTGTTTGTGTTGAATACTCAGTATATTCCTGACTAATTTAAAATAAAAAATAATAATAAAAAATAATAATAACAACAACAACAATAATAATAATGAAGAACTTTTAGCTTTCAATCTTTACTATGCAGCCTTTTCATCTCAAGCAGGCATTGCAAGAATATTCTACTTTATTTCTGGCTCAAATTATGTGTCCTCTTTGATACAACCAGGAATATGACCAGAGAGCACGTAAGATTATAATTACGAAGGTGCATTTACTGATTCCTTGCTATTCACACTCTTTCCATTGGGTGTTGCTATGATATTAAACAGATCACTTCTAGGACTCAATGTATGGATACAGAAAGGCATGCCTATGGTTTAAGGTCTCTGTTGCTTTGTCCAAGACTGTTGTACTTCAAAAAGTTCATGGTGTACTTCATTAGATGATGTTGAGAAAAATTGCCAGTGACTGCTTCTGAAAAGGAAATCCATAAAATGGAATCTTCCAGCTTGTACTACAGGTTCTGTACTCTTTCATTAAGATGATCAGACTAAATTTAGATGCACATTGCAGCATTCAATTATTGTACACAATATCTATGCAGATGGCTCTTTTAATTAGAGTATTTATTGAATCTTCTGCCTAAAGAATCAGACAGTGAATAAGGAGGAATTTAACGAAACTAACCAAACAAGGAAATTTCTAATGGAAGCTGAAAATTAAAAAAAAAAAAAAAAAAAAAAAAAAGGTAATATCTTAAGATGCAATGCTAGCAAGGATTTCCTACTCATTGAAGGCATCTCTTTATACAATCTGAGTGAGAAGCCTTTGCAGATTCGTGGCCTCAGGGAGGTCTTGTCAAGCACTAAGTATCAGGAAACTGATCAGTAATCTTTGCACAGCTGATGATCAGACACATGACAGCTGAAGATTTCAAAAGCAAGATACAGGCTGGAACTGGGCTTTCAATGTGGCACAGACACACAAGTGAACATATCTTATGGGTATCATCAAAAAATGGCATGATTACATTAAGCTCTGGCAAGTGGAAATGGTAAAAAGTCACTTAATATTTTAAATATTCTCAGTTGGTATTAATGGCTGCTGCTGTTAATACTAGTAACATTAACTAGCAACACTATCTAGTAACTGCAAATAATACAAAGCTATTACAACCTGAAATTCTGGTTATTTTGTATCTATAACGTAGCTGCTGATCTAGTTCTATTCCTAGGTTGTTAGAAATGCATCTGCATTTACTTCTGCAGCTTTTGCTCTAACCGGAAAAAAAATCACACACAATATACATAATAAAAAGGAAAAATACTGCAGTAAGGCACCATAATTTTTATATGTAGTTAAATTTACTACCGTCAAACATAAATGCTTGAATAATACTAACTTGGGCAAGGAAGAAGTTGTTATGGGTCATAAATAATAGGCTTGAACAAGGAAAGCTGTTTGGCCTCTTAGCACAGCCAGCAATACAATCCATTCTCAACATAAATTCCAGTGTTTCTGTATTCTAAATTCTGTGGTATATTTTAAATTTCATAATTATGGCTGCTTTTTAAATTTCATAATTATGGCTAGACTTACCTGGTAGACCAGGTGGGGTTTTCAGATATTTGCCATTAAAATGTTGAATTACTACTTCACATTTTTCTGTAGACTCCATTCTAGAAAAAAAGAAGAGAGTGGGATGGGGGAAGAGACAATATGTGTTACTAGACTGTTATGAAAGTGCTCAGTCAGCAAACAAAAAGCAAAAGGAGGGGAAAAAAAAAAAAAAAGAAAAAAAAAAAAAGACAAGCACAGATGCTGAGAGAAATCTTCAAAGCTGTCCTTGCTGATTTCTGCTGAGAAACTGGTGGAGCTCATTATGGTATAGTGTGGCTTGCAAGGAGGACCTGCCACCCTCAAAGCCTGCAGCTGCACTCCCAGCTGTGTGAGAGCTGCAGCAGTGTCAATGAACAGTCCCCTTTTGGCTTCAGGGATCACACTGAACAAGGACATTCTTTATGCTCTCACGTACTGCTTGGGAAGGCAAAAGGACGTGTTTCTAGATTCCTTGTGCACACAAAATAACTTCAAATGGCATGAAAACAAAACAAAACAGGATTTGGAGAAGAAGCCAGAGGATTAAGCAACAATTATTAAAGGATTACAATGGTAAAAAAATAACCTACAAAGACAGATTGTATAGCAAAACCAAGTCAATGCATATATGCTTACTACAAAATAAAGCCAAATTCTGGGTGAAGATAGTAATTTACATATACTAGTAGGTGAGATGCCTTACTATTCATTGTAATACTCAAATTAACTTTGAGCATTGAAAAATGAAAACATTAATACTGAACTGGTAAATGTATAATTGAAGGAACTGTAAAGAATAGCTACTAGTAAAATCCTTAACCATGGTCTCATCACATCTGGGAATTCACCATTCCTTCAGGTTTTATAAACTGACTGCAAACTAGTCCAGAGAAGTGTTCATTGACTTTGCTACAGAGTGTGTACAGAATCTTTGAACAGAGGAAAGAGAGAAATGGAAAGCTAATAAGTAAGCAACATCATACTGCTTTTGTTTTTCCTGTCAAAAGCGTGTTTAAAACACATGTTCAATACTCCTTGGATTCACCAGAGCTTACCTCCAGGTATTCTCTGTAAAGTAACTCCACTGACATAAATATTGCTTACTCCTCACCAGTCTAGATCTTTTTAAATATTATTTTATCTATGACTCTTTCTGTCACATGGTTTTGGGAAAGAAAACATGCGTTCCATGTGGCTCACAGAGAGTTTAGACCAGCAGTTTGTGTCCTGAGTAAGGTTTGCCAGGGTTTAAAGAACCACTCCACTGTAACCCAAAAATAATTATAATAATTAAAAAACCCCACAAACATAATCCTGATTGCCAGATTAACTCTCTCTGCATGTCAAAGTCTTTTTGTCAGATTTTAAAAAATAATTTAAAATTGCTCCTTCCAGGTTGTATTACTGCTTATCACGTGGGCTGGGCCATTTCTACAAGCACAAAGACAGCAACTTAGATTGTTCACTTTGGCTTCATTGAGATTTAACTAAGCGAAAGTCTGTACTGAGCCTTTAGAGACTCTTGTCTCTGAAAGACTAAATGCAATAAAAGTCTGTTTTCTGTAGCTGCAGGCGCTTAGTGTCAAACCACGTTATGTTGCACCATCCAGCAGTGACAATTTCATTTTAATACATGGGGTACATTTTAACGAGCCAAAGCAGTCCCAGCAAAGAATACAATATATAAGCTGCCAAGTGAAAAAGGCTCAGCGCACTTCGTGCATTTTATGTGGGAAGAGAATAAAAGTGAAACCCACAGTGTTCTAGGATAAAAAGGCCATCATTCGAATAGCAATCTGAAAAGGAATGTGTGCATTCTCTTCTCAAGTTTCACAATTAACAGCTCTCAAATGCCACAGCTCACTATCTGTAATCTGGCACACGCTTCGCTTGAAACCAACACTGGTATTATCCACTCAGTTTGAAAAGGCAGCACAATAGACAAAGTTGTCTGTACATGTTCCCTGAGTAACAACTGCATCCATTCCTCCTCTCCCCTACCTGAGTCCCCGTCTGCTGTCTGCAACATGTGCCTGTGGGGTAGACCTTCCCTCCTGGCCACACCAAGGCAGGGCTCACAGCCCACATCTCTCCCAGGGCCACCCAGGTACAAATTATAATTTTCATTTGTCCACAATAGCTGTTGTTTTAGAAGCCACCCTTTCAAATTTCAGGCTGGTTAGTTCACTGACTGACTGGGAGTTAGGGGTACAGAGCAACCAGACATATTACTATTATGTTCTGATACTTGCCATAACAAGATGCCTGTTTTAGTTTATTTAAAACTCTGATCAACATCAACCACTTGGGTTGCAATTCGTATGGTGGGCACCTACACATAAGCTGTACACATCAATTCAGACAGTCCTCTTTCTCATCTACTTGTTTTTAGCCATAATGACTAGCCATACCTGGGAAGAGACTCATTAAAAATACACTATTCTTAGGTCCATAGTAATAAATTCTACCTACTTTTTCTTCAAAAAGCTGTGGCACTCCTCTGTTATAGAATGTGTTCAGAAACTCGGGGGAGATGGATAAAATATGCTTCATGTCATGAATTTATTCTTCTAGTATGAGATAGAAATGTTTCAAAATACTGGTTGAGACTGGTATTTAATAAAAATATCATTAATGGGAATGTTACTTGTTACAAGTTAGCCTCCAGGGGAGAGGTTTTCTACAACAGAATGTCATTGGAGCACAGGTAAGCTTGGGAGAAGAGTACTCTTAAATCAATATTTTAGTGTGTTTGTTTTCATAATTAATAGAACAAAAATGTGGCAATTGGTAATATTCTGGAGAAAAGATATCGATCTTAGATGCTTCAAAACCTTCTATTGAAAGATGCAGATATTCAGCCTGCCTGCTGGGAAGGGGAGGACAACAGCTTCACTTGGTAATAGAAAATTGCTTCTGATCAAATAATTCACAAACTATCATTTTCAAACTCCTTTTAACAATATGTTTTTGGTGCTGATCCTAAGAAGATCTTAGATAATACTTCATGGTTAAATGTGACTTGCAGATAATTATAATGCATCTAAGTATTATTTTGAATCAGGAAATGCATTGCATAAACAAATTTATCAAAGCCATGGCCCAGATTCTTACAGTATTTTTAAAGGTACAGATAATGATCTAAGACTAATAAACTAACAAAACCATGAAAATTATGTTCACCTGTGTCAATATATATCTCTGGGTTCTGGAAACTAAGTTGTAAAGTTCCCAAATCCACTATGAGTAACTACATTATCTATACTCTACCCACCTGGAAAGGAAGTGAATTTAAAAAAAAAAAAAAAAAATCTGAGAAGGAAGACTGCTTTTATTTTTATTTTTTTCCTAGCCATAATTTGTAAATTTAAGGTATTTCAATAGGATTACTAAAAGAACAACAAAAAATGGGGTATTTGAGCAAGTATCACAACCAAGTACTTTGGTGTTCATGTCTTGCTATTAAATATTTATTGTAGATAATTTTTAAAATGTGTATTACTATCTCTATAAACCATAGTGGCTCCAAAGTAGTCATTATGCCTTGTTATAAATAACAGGGAATGCTTAACATTGAAAAAAAAAAAAAAAAAAAAAAAAGGATTTTTTTTTTTTACAAAACTAAAGCTCATACACATGCTTATTATAAAGATTGATGCAGTGTCAAGAAACAACCTAATAAAATTTATATACAAGGAATAACATAATGATTACATAATTATTACACAAGAAATATTCTGTACCATGTAATTACCAGTTAGAGGTAAAATGTAGGTTTGGTTTACATATGCCCTATAGTCACTTTGCTTGATGATAATAATAATGTAAATGAGAATCAGCACTATATTTTTGAATATCCAGAGTAAATATTTAAAGATTAAATTGCTACTGCCACATTTATGTTATGACCAACATATGAATAGTGTTGTTTTCTTACATTTATAAGAGTAGGATTAATGAATCTTAAGAGGCAATGTTTCTTTACTATTTAAGGCATTTTGTAAAGACAGAAGTAGGTAGGTAGTAGCAATATTATACACTGGAGGAGTCCGAAGAGCAAAGCTATAGTTAGAATACACACAGGAGTTGTGATAAGAACCAGATGAATTTGAAAGAGAAATTAGGCAGAAACATTTAACCACAAGGAAGATTTTTTTTCTGGTTGATGTCTTCAGATCACTTCTGAAAGCTGTATTTTAGTAGAAGACCAGTATTACCTCTGTATTAGGTAACTGGGTGTACTTCAACTGCCTGTGGTATAAAAGAGGTCAGGGAAAACCATCCTGAGGTCTTACATACTATAAAGCTACAACATAGGTTTGATTAGTATGAGGTTTCTTAGCACCTACTACTCTTCATCCTTCTAAGGCAACATGTTCACTAATTTCTTTAATTTATTTTGTTAATTCCAGGCATCCTAAGACCCTGATACAGCTATAACCTGTGATTTTCTTATCTCTTGTAACTGATTAAGGTGTCTTCTTTCCCCAGCTTTTCAGTTGGTAAAAGATTGCTTCAAGATGTTTGTGGTTTTTGGTTTGAATGTATTTTATTCTGGAAAAACTGTTCCCCTTGTCATTTACAGCCTTGGAAGATACATTAATTTTAACAAGTTCTCCTCATTAGTCATAAATTATATCTTTTCCCAACATCTTGCCTGTATATTCTTCATGTTCAGTCCTACTTGCATGAAAAATGGGTTGTTCACTATCTCAGATGAATATACAAAATCTGCAGAAAACACTCCATTGAGGAATGATAGGCTCTCCTTCTCTCCATACTATACCACACAGAATGACCCATTATGCCAAGGTGACTGTTCCAAGTTGCCTGAGTGCCTCTGCACAGAGCTACGGTGCTCTCCATAGAGATACCACTTTGTTTCAGAAGAAATCCAATATAAATAAATGACACCTACAATGTCCTGAAAAATCTCGAAAGATGCACAGCTTACTTTGAGGAAAAAAAAAACCCATACAGATTAAAGGCTTAGCTCTCTTGTTTTGCTTCAGTGGAAACTGAAGCACATCCATGTCTACTGAAATCCATGCAAAAATCCATAAGTAAACTAATGATCCTGTGGGGGCTCAATAATTTGTTTCCCATTTTCTGTTGCTCCCTTTTAGTTGCTGAATTGAATACTGTTTGCAAAGATTAAATTTAAGACATATAAAACAAAGACAAGCAAGGAATAAGTTAATCAGAAACATGTAGGCAGAGAAAAGCACCTCACTGGAAACTCTTCCAGGAGAATCAGGTAGGAAAAAGGCAAGAATTAAACCCAAACTCCCAACAACAATCAGGTAAATGGCCCACTGCAGACCTCCCAGCTGTGTCAAAAAGGGATGAAAGTATCTCCTTGCTATATTCTTTTGCTCTGAGATTATAAGAGACAGCTAATCGAGAATCTCTTGACTTTGGTTGTTTGCTGGGAACAGCATCCTAACATTCTTTTATGACAGTTTGTGTTTCTTATGTTACTGGAAAAGAGTAGCATGAACACACAGTCATTTCCACCTAGACCCAGGCTGATTTATGCTACTGTCTTCACAGTCTCAGGTTAAGTATTATACTGGTGCCCGCCAGCAGTGCAATACTTGACTGTCTGACTGTCAGCATTTCCATCATAAATTTCTGTTTTCAGAGGCTTATGACTTTGTTGTAAAATGTCGCTCGGGGGGTGAATCTTGCAAGGTCGTTTTAAATTACAAGACAGCAAACAAAATAAAAAAGTTAGTGGTTTCTAACTCTTTCGTTGCACTTTATAATTTAAAAGGACCTATAAACCACTTGCTCTGGTGTTCAGTTGAGTGTGGTACATGTATGTATGGTATTATTATTATTATTATTAATTCTATAGGGAGGATACTTAAATAAGACTTGAATGGTATTTTACAGTGGGGTCATGAAACACAGCTTTTATTTCATTGATTAAGTGTTATCAATAAGTCCTTGTCCAAGGTACATCTCAGTGTCTCCTTGCTCCCTTTTCAATTAAATTCACAGTACCCCGGGCTCGGATTATGAAAATTGTTCAGCCAAATTATCTGATGGCTCCCAACTTTCCTCATTCCTCTGTCTTCACCTTTAACAGCTTCATATCCATTTTCATGTTATGGAGTCCCACTGACATATGTCCTGGGATCCTGCTCGACCTGTCCCTCTCTGGATTTTGCTTCTTCCTGAAAGTACAGCTCCATGCCTGGCGATTTTCTTAGGGAGGCACTAAGTCTACAGAAATTTGGTCCAGGCTGCAATGCAAGATGCAAATGTGAGGGTTTCAGAGATACATTCCCCCATGGAACCCTCTGGCACCCTGCAGAAACGCTGTGAGCCCCTTCCAGGGAGGCTTTTCAATGTAAATTTATCACCATAGGCATTGGAATATTTTACAGATATTGCACAAAGTCTTTGGGGCATGTTTGGGATTTCCAGTTTCATCTGAGCTATCCAATTATAAAGCAATTCCCTGTGTAAGATGTAGGATGTGACAGATCATTCTTCCAACTGAAAGTACGAATGATCCTCATAATATCTAAGTCTGCACTACCATCACAGATTATAGATTTGTTCAAGCTATATTTATAGCACATTTTCAACTGCCTTAAACTAAACCCTTAAATAGGGAAGAACAAAGCGTTTCTCCCCTTCACGAGTGCATCCTTACACTGCCTGGATATTCTCTATTCCCTGGTGACACTTCTCTGCCTCCAAAGTGCCTCCACTGATCCTCAGAAACATTCACACCGATCCTCTACAAACACTGATCCTCTAAACGTTCCCCTTTTCATTTAGCAAAACAGCACTGCTGCTTTGGGTCCACTTGGATTGTGTTACATCTTTATCTTCTCACACTTAACATCTAGAATGCACCTTTTATGGGCTGGTAGAAAGTCAAGTCTTCCAGCACATGCAGTTACCTCTTTGTAAGTGACAACGGATCTTCAGGATGAAGTTAAATATTTCTCTCCATGCTCTCAGTAACTTCTCCTATCCAATAATTTAAGCCTCCCTCAAAGACCTTCTCACTTACTACTTCTGATCTTTTTACTCACACCACCAAAATTGTTAATGTCCTGTTTGCAAAACTTAAATAAATAATAAGAGATTAACCTAAAGATTATATCTTAAAAACAGTCTTCAAATCCCATTTCTGTGGCTTTTTCCCTTAGCTTTTTTTGTTGTTTTTGTTGGGGGTTTTTGAGGATGAAGGACTATACTTTCATTCTAAGCTCTGAGGAATCCACTTACACTTTTAAAATGAAAGATCTGATGCTGAAATAATTTGATAACTCCCAACAACAGGGATTTAAGAGAAACACCTACAATTTTAAATCTTGTGATGAAGTCTTGTGTGGGGGCAACACTACATCATTTCTTCTTTCAACTTGCAATCTTCCAACAGATTGAATTCAAAGCTTCTCATCAGCACTACCTTCTTTCTCCAGTTCCCTGCTTTTAGTAAGTATTTCTTCCCCTTACTTCTCCTCCTCCTAATTTCTCTGTCTGCTATAAGAAAGGCTGTGTTCAGTCCCAGCTTCTGCTTGCCTGTGTCAGCAGAAACATACACTGCCCAACGACAACTGCAACACAAAGCCCTGCAGAATGCCAGCTCCAATGGAGACCCTGGATCCAGGTAGCACAGCTTCAAAGTACAAAGCACAGGCAAGAGGAGAAGCAGAAGCAGGTGTCCAGAAGTTATGACAATTCCCTTTCAACTGGATGGACTTCTGGGGAGCCAGAGTCAGAGTCAAAAGCTTCCCTTCTCTGGCCTCTTGCTCATAACTTTCCTCCTCAAAATGTCCCCTGGGGTGTACCTAGGCACATTTGGGTTCAAGCCACAGTAAAATGCTCTGGAAGCTTCAGAAAAACCTTTTCAGTTGCTTTTGAGGGATGCAAAAGAGAGGAAATACTTTCACAATTTTAAAAGGGGAGATAACTTTGAACATGCATACTTTAAAGGAGGCTGAACTCTAATGTGGCCAGAAACTACTAAGATGATTTTGATCCAAGAAGATTTGAAGTTAGCCACGCTATAAATTACTAAGTAGCCACCTGCAGTAATATGAAACTGCAAATCACATCCATTTAGGAGAATAATCTGACAATAGCTGTCTACCATAAGTCTTTACTTCCAATTTCTTTTTGAATATACTTATTTTGAGATTGACTATTCACATAATTGGGCAGAATCAAAACATCATTTTTAATAATCATAGCACTTAATTATTAACTTTGAAATATCAAATTTCAAAATTGCTGGGTGCTGCATCATTTTAGCATATGCGAAGCTAACTTTGTCTCCTGTGCTTCTGTGGCTCAGTCAAGATTCAGCAGGCAAGATATACTGTGATAAAAGACCTCAGGTCAGAAGCTATAATAGCCAGTATCACCACAAGGGTTGTTGATCTGAACTTATGAAACCTTATCTGGACTGAAACACAGCAACCATCCCCTACCTGTACCACAGCTATACACATGTAGTGTGTGCTCACAATAGAACAAAATGTTCACGACTACAAGCAAAGCTAAACAAATTCATCTCTTTAGAGACACGTGGGAAAAAGATACCAAATACCACTTTACTACAAAAAGACAGTCAGGTAGTCATGTAATTAAAGTTTGTACTGATAATTCTACAAAGATAAGAGTCAAGATTCAGCTATGGTTATAAATTCCAGGATCAACTCCGGCCTTAGTCAAGTCAATGGGTTATCAGCTGTATCCATTGATGGAGCAGTGGGTTTACCCCTCTGTTGTTTACATGGTGAGTTACACAACTTCCATGTTGGATCACCAGAGGTTTCTTGAAATATATTACATAATTAAATACATTTGCCGAAACAAAGTCCATTTTTAAAAATACAAGTTAATCCATGAATTACACTAGTCTATATTTAGTGAGCTAGAAAAAAATTGTGTTATTATCTGCAAGACTGCGTAAAGAACAGCATTCTCTTTCAGCATAAATGTTTTGCCTTTTTCCATTTGAATTCAGACAATATTATCTTATTCTTCACGCGTGATGATTTTTCACATCAAGGACAAAGGTAACAAACACTACAATGTCACTTACTTGCAAGATATATTTTTATCACACAGTACCTCATTTCACTCAGTGGTCTTAGGACACTAACAGAAGCGCTGTGATGTACCAAGATATAGTGTATTTCAAGAAAATCTGCAAGATGACTAAGTCATTTTGCCTCCTCTACAAAGCACAATGTTATGAATATTCTGTAGAACCAACTATTTGGGATTTTTTTTTTTTCCTTTTCTTTTGAAGCAGAAGAATGATTTACAGCACAATTGCAAATTTCTCTTCTTATTTGCTTTTCCAATTCCCTTCTATATATAGTGCTCTATTCCTCGGCTTTTCAAAAGAAACCATTTGATTTAAGAATGTTTCAAGCTGAAGAGAATCTATGTAAATATTCCCTGAGGGTAAACATGGAAACTTGTCTATCTGTACTGACAATGAAGTACATGGCAATAATATGTTGCCCATTCTGTCTAAAATATCTGAGTACTCTGACAGAGCATGTTATATGCAAATATTTCTTCTCTAAGCTTTTCTCAGAGGCTTGAGTTCCCTGCAGCTGTCAAGGACACCATGTTTCACCCCTTTGCTCTTCCAATTGACAAATTAACTTTTTTTCCTGTTGTGAAATCTTTGCTAAATATTTAAACAGTTTCTTCACAAAGTTGGTGCTTTCGGCTGTAGGATATTTACAACTATCCAAGCTTTGATACTGCATGGATAGGTCACTATTCCTAGCAATTTTTACTCACATACACATATCATACAATTAACTATTTTTTAGAGCAAATAAATTAACATCCTTCTGTATTGTTATTCAGCTCAGTGGAAGGAACAGTCACACAATCTGATACAGGTGCTGCTCTGCATTTTCCATAGCTATGAGGCTTCAGAGTTATGGAATACACAGTATTTGCAAAGGACCAAAGCCAAAAAACGTGCACAAATCAAAAAAGAGTAAAGGTTTCACCTGGCAAAGCCGACTCCTCTGCTGACGCCATTAGCATCTCTTAATATTCGGGTGGAAATGACATGTCCAAAGGGTTTCAGCATATTCTCCAGTTCCTGCTCATCCATGGAAACAGGTAAATTTGAGATGTATAGATTTGTGGGATCTTGCTCTTGTTGCTATGACAAAATAAGAGAAATATCCTCAGTTAGGCTTAGCACAACAGAATATCATATGTCTCATACCACAAGGGCTACTCAAAATAGGATCAAGCCAAGAATGTATAGCTGCATTAAAAGCAAAACTGGGCAGTCTGTTAATGGCAACAATGTATTTGCCAATTTTTTTCAAGCCCTCATGTATGTGCCTAATTCTGTGTGTGAATGCTCTACTGAACTCAGTGACACTACTCATTGAAAGAAAATTAGTTTCACACACAAGCATTCTGGGGTTGTTGTCCTAATTTAACAAAGAGATTGTGAACAAAATGTGATTTCTACTAATAACATAAATAACATAAATAAATAAAAAAACCCTCAACACATGTTTTAAGCAGATGTGCTTTGCAGCCTGCAGACTTCCTATTCACCCTGTTCATCATAAGCAAGGCTAGTTGAAAACAGATAACACTTTCAATAGTACCTTTTCTCTTTTCTACCCCATCAGAAATACCTTGGTTCATAATGTACCACAAGACCTAACTGGGTGGGAGGCAGTTCTGCAGTTCAGTTGAAGGTCCTGGTGAGACGGGTCATATGTTTATTATCAGACTGAATTAAATTGTCTCATAAAGTAGTATGAATAATTGAGTTAAAAATTTGAAGACAGCTTTCTCATTATATTTCTGATTTTTGGCTAAACTTTTCATTTTGGTCACCATTCCAACTTTTATTCTTGCTTGCCAAAATATTGCAAAGAAACATGCAAAAGGTATAGATGCCATATGTAATATAAGTGCATTTAAGCAGTAAATAAAAACCTTGTCTATAGACAACTAGTTCTTGATTAGACCAAATAAATCCAGTTAAGCCCCAGCAAATTTTCATGACTCTGGTTGCATTTTCATTGATACAAAATTTACATAATATCTGATTACCTGTCAGTACAAGCCTGATTTGGATCAAGCATGACTACATAATTTTAGCTAATGCTTAATAACCAAAAATGTACAACATAATCTTTATGCTACGCAATAAGCCTGACAATACCTTACCTGACAAAGTCTTTGGAGACAGATTTTTCTATTATTTTTCATGACACACTTTATCAGGCAGAATTAATTTTTAGTTGTTCAATGCTTCAATTTATATGGCAACATATTACCATTTTTTGCTATGTGGTGTCCTAAAAATAGATAAATGAGCTTGCAGCAGCACCACAACCTTACACTGAAGAAGCTACACAAAGTCCTGCAGCCATCTTCTCTGGTTTAACTAAACTAGTTTCAAATTATACTTCATTAAAATCACTGCAGATGTGTCTTGTCAAACACAAAGAATCACGTCCTGTTTCTAGATGATGTATGAAGACAGGACAGAACCAAGATGTCTGCTTCATCCCTGCCTCAGACATTCAAGAACACAAAAATGGAAGCAGAAATAATTTCAAGCTGTGATTCACACACCCCATCTTTACAGGGAGAAGAATGACTAAACAAAGTCTAGTTTAGCTAAATAACAGAATCCAAAGTCAAAGAAAGTTTTCAGCTTCCATTACCCCAGGCACAGGGGAAATTTTAGCCTTTCAGATGAGAAGAAAAGCTGCAAATGGATACCCAAAGGGTCCAAAATCAGGAAGCATGTAATACTGTTTTACTGCATAATTTGGATTCTGACCTAAGAGCTGTGAACACTTGCCTTTGGACATACTGCTTAATGCCCACTGCATTCAAGCTTTGCATCTCCAGACCCATTATCCCACAAAACAACACATTACCATGCAGGTTGAATTCCCCACTATTTTACAAAACAGAAATAAAAGAACAAAGTAGGCACATTTTCAAGCTGCTGTCCATAAAAATATGACCAGTTATTACAGTGCCTTATAGTAACAGGCAGAGACAAGGAAAACCACATGCACATAGTGGATTTACTGCAAATTGAACTGAAGCTACAAACCCCAAATCTAGAAAAACATTCTTTCCTTTTCCAGTCATCTTTCCCTGCAGTCATCTTCCTTTCTCTCACTTCAATTTACATTAATACAGATTCAAAAGTTAGTTCCTCTCCAATAACCAAAATATATTAGTAAGGGTTCAGAACTGGTACAGTATCGACAAAGTGAGGAAAATCATGCAGACAGTCCTGGAGGGAAGGTAGGAAAGAAAAGAGAGGAATATGAGTTTCAGACAAGACTTCTAGCTTTGGAAGAAACAAACAAGCTAAATACCAAACAATTTTATTTCTCCTTTATTTTTTTACACATATTCCCTTTTTCTGAGTGCAAATTATTTAAGTTGTATTGTTTGTTACCTGTCTTTTCCCCACACAGTCAACAGAAAAAAAAGGAAAGATAGTAACAATGAAGATGCTTCCTAATCTATAAGTTCTTTGAAAATGTGAGCAAAGGATGCAATTAAAGCAGAGCCATTCCAGAAGCAAATAAAAGTTAGAAAGGTTTGCAATTCTAATAGACACATTTTATCAGAAATACTTGTTATGCAAACTGCTACCCACTGATTGGTGTAATGGTTTAAGTGACCCTGGCATGGTGTTGGACACCTATAAGAGGAACTAGAGAGAAGGTCCTTAAGACCCTGAAAGACCTGGGAGGGCCAGAACAGGGAGGGGTCAGTATTCTCCCCACTTTCTGCTATCCCCTATAAAAGCCAGGAGAACTGAACTCTCACCCACCTATTCCTGTCATCATCGAGATGGATTTTCTATATATTTGTATATTAGTTTATATACCTGTTCTTTCCCTTTTACTGTGTTATAGTAAATTTGTTCCAGTTTCAAATTCCAACCCTTAAGTCTTTCTTCCTTATTGCCCTTCTGTCTTTCACTGGGAGGGTGAAGGGGGGGTAATAGGGAATAATTCTGCCTTCTTGTGGTTCAGGACAATCGGTTAAGGATTTTAGTTAATCAACCAACTGGTGCTCAGGGACTGAAATCCCTTGTCAATAGAGTCTTCTGTGGACGTGATCGCCACAGCCAAAGGACAGACTAATATGAAGAAAAGCAGAGCTATGCATCAGTAACTGCACAACAGCCTTTGCTTTCAGTGAAGCAATTAAGTTCCACAGAATATTAAAATAAGAACTTTTATTTTGACAACTAAGTCTTCAGGCTGGGGCAAACAAATAAAATGAATGAGAACCACAGCCAATGTGTCTCACTTTTAGAGTAGGAACACTCTTAACTGTGTTAGAGATTAAATGTCATTGTTTTAAATATCTGTGGAAAGTTTAGCAACACTCTTGAGTATGAATGAAAGACTAGCAGGGCACAGTCACTCTCTCACAAGGATTTACCAAGCCTATCTTTTATCAAGATGACAATCAAGAGCTGCAAGGAGAGAGACAGGTGAGGCCACTCATGCTGCATCCACAGTGCGATGGTGCGTTCTAAGAAAGGAAAGAAACTTTCATGTTGTTTTTCCTTACTATACAAACATAACATTTACAGGAATATCTCTTTACTTTACAGAGGAATATCACCCCACATAAGCTGTATCTCACACCACGAACTGAAACAAGATGAAATGCCTTCCTAACAACAAAGCATGGAGCTGAGCAGTCTTCACAGGAGCTGTGTGGGACCCGGCTGCTCTGCCACTGTACAGCCAGACCCCACAGCCACCCACTCTCACACATCCCTGTTTCTCAGGCCCATTCCTCTCTTCCAGCCTCTGGCATTGGTGCTCCTCCTGATCTTTTTCAGTTGTGCAGGGATCCCCTTTGCAGCACAGAGAAGCTGACACATGATCCTCATTTTGCCCGAGCCTTCTCATTGCAGATTCCCAAGCTTCTGCATGATGAACTCACTGCCCTGGCCCAATGTCACTGCTGAGCTTTTTCAGTGAGAGAGGTGGACACCCTACTTTTCAAAATGTGGCTATTTGTTGACAAGATTATATTAACCAGAACCATAAGTCCAAGCACCCCACAAACTACTAGCCTTTCATAATCCTAACTAGTTGACAGTCAGTTTTCTTTCAGTGAAGGATCACATGCCACAGCTGCAGGACTGGTAGTGAGCGTGGCATCTGGATCCACACAGTGTGGCCCAGGCTCCCTCTGGTTCATTTAATTTTGTCTATGGCTTTAAAACATGTTACTTCCCACCTTGAGATGCTAAAATCCCATTTATTTTTGTGTCTGGTTCCAAACTGGACTGACTGACCAGTCATTACCAAGAGAGCTGACAGTCATTTGTGTGATACTCCCAGTCACTTCACAACTGCGATTTCCTCTCACGCCCCAAGTATTTTGGACAGGAGCAGAAGGCATGGGGTGGCAGAAAGCCACACACTCCCTGCAAACACCTACAACAGAGCACGCGGCAGCGCAGAAGAGAGAGCGGCAGCAGCACCGGCAGCGGTGAGAGCTGTTCCTTTAAATTTACTGAGGATTTGAGAGGGAGCCGGGCTTCCCAGAGACGGTGAAGCCGGGGCAGAGCCAGGAGACCCGAGTCTGAGCGGGAAGCCTGCGAGGGAGAGGAGAGGAAGGCTGACGTGGCAGGGGGTGTGGCTGTGAACGGCGGCAAGGTTTAAAAAGCGGCCATTTGGCAGCCTCGTCTGAGCACGCGGCAGCGGAGAAGAGAGAGCGGCAGCGGCCTGCGGAGTTATCTAGGTGCCTTTTCCACAAAGTCTTTCTTACATGTGTATCCTTGCTGGATGACACTCAAGCTGCCTTCCCCCTCAGTTCACTCTAATTCATCAATATTTATCCTGACAAAGTTTTGCCTGGAATTCCAAAGTCAGTTATAGTGCTGTGATTGTCACTGGATGAAGCAGGAAAAGATATTGCAGTTATACAGATGCATATAGAACGAGCATATTCTCACTTCTGTTCTGTATCCAGAATTTTAAACTAACACTTTTGTTACACCTAATGCTATTAGTGTTAATGAAAAAAATGCCAAAATGTCAAAACATTTTCTGCAAACTTATTAATACCAGTGCTACAGGATGAGCAGTAATGTCTTCAAACTTAAAGACTGTAGATTTAGATTATATA